CAAATACCAATAAGTCCCATGGGAGGGACTTGATCATGAAGAGGTATGATCGAAGCAGTTGGAGAGTTGGACTACTCCAGAGCTCATATTCACTTGAGGGAGCCCAGCAAGTCAGAGGACAAGGTCGAGTAAGCGAACGTTGCTACCAAGGAAGCTAAGGATAACAGAATCGGTGCAAACCCTACAACGTGATGGCAGAGGCCATACATGGGAGCTGTAGTCTGTCTTTCCATCGACCAAAGGGAGCTACTTGGAGAATACAGAGGTGTTGAAGCAAGGGGTCGAAAGGGGTGAGGAAGCGACGACGAGTCTAGAGGGACTTAGCTACCCAAAATCAAGCATCAGTTAGAATGAAGGTGGACTCGGAGGAGTGCCACAGAGGCATATCTACTGATTGTGAAGAAAAGGGATGTAGATGTGAGGTGACGGAGAGTACTACCATGGGCATGGCAGCACCATGGTACCGCAGAGGTGGGACTTCTGTGAAAGTCATTGATCCCTTGCTCTCATGGAGGGAGAGCGCTTGGTCGTGAAAGGGGCCGAGGAGGTAGAGCATGCAGAGGCAATCTCCAAGTACCGAGACAAGGCTGAAGGGTAGAGGCCAAGGAACTTCGTAAGACCAGTGTCAACGAGCTTCTCATCAAGATAGCCGAAAGTGAAGGACTTCGGGTCAGGCAAGAGTGCATGACCAAGGAACGAAGTAGGCAGTACGCGGTGTTGTACCTTTGCTATTCAGTGGAGTAGGCGGCAGGGTTGATGGAGAAGACGGTACAATCCCAAAGGCGACCAAACCTATGAGAGAATCACTCCAAGTTGGGGTGAAAACTTCCTACATTCCAGAAGTTCGATGGCATTGAGAAGGTAAATCAAAGTAACTAACTCAATGCAAGGAGTGCAAACACTTCAAGTGCTTCAGAAGTGTGAGCAAAGAGCAGGCGAAGGCCAGTAACTAGCTCGATGCATGGAGTACAACCTCGAGGAGGCGGGCGAAGTCAAGTAACCTTTGCCTTCTCAACTCTTAAGAGAATGGGCGAAACCGAGTACCCCAATTCTCTTATCTATCCAGCAGAGGAGCTCTGCACATGTTCAAAGACCCTTCGAAGATAATTGAAGACAATAGTTGTCAAATCCTCACCAACGGTGATCAGTGCTACTGAGAGTAGATTGTCCGCTTCATTTCCCAACGAAATGTCAATCGAAAGCGGAAGTGATGCGAACCTACTTGGAAGTGACAACTAAGTTAAAGGAGAGTCAATGGATAAATTTTGTAAAGGAAGGACCCAAAACTTCAGAAGTTTACGAGATGATGCTCGTTAAAGCTCCAACAAGCATCCACCCAGTTCAAGCAGCATGAGGCATTCGAGAGACTAGCGCAGTAAGGATGGTCTTTTCCTTCATATGGAGGATCCGCAGGAACCAACAGGGATCAACACAACTCAGTCAACCCCACACTAGAGTCAGAGTCATTGGCGAGTTGAAGCAGCATGGCGGATCAAATGTTCGACTACTCCAAAACAGCAGCGGAGACCAGTTGGGAGCCAAGAGGCACATTGCAGCTAGAGCAGAAGATTGAAGACTCAGCAAAGGCAAGGAGTTGCAGTGTCGGCAAAGGCTTCGACGAGGACGTCGAAGGAATAAGTGGGGGAGAATGTCACGGACAAACTTCGAAACAGGATGTTTGATGTAATGCTTATGTATGTCTTATGGTATGTTCATGCTTTGTACATCATGTAGAGGGACGGCCGAAGGCTTAATAGTCTCATTTTAGTAGGGTTGGTGGCCGCTTTAGGCTTGTAAATAAAGGTTGTGTCATGTGGACACTTGTGAGAGATTTTCGGTCTGTAATGGACCATTTTAACCCTTTGTTGTGCAATTGTTCAGAGCTTGTAAAGTATGTTTATAATTTGCATTGTCTATGAAGTGTTTCCTGGAATGTTTACTTGTGGATACCGAATGAGACGTTTTCTCTAACCCGTTCTCTCTTTTGTGGGTCCTAAGGGACCGTGGGAGGCTTCGGGGAGGTTGACCTTTGCAGACGGACACGCAAGGGTACCGCACGACTTAGGCAAAACCAGCTAAGTCCGTGACACATCGCCGCTCTGACCTTGCCCTCATCTCTACCTCGAAATGCCCATGCAGATGCCCTAGCATGATCAAGATTGAACTAAGCCGTGCTGACTCCCAAGCTACGACATAAAAGATCACAACAGTATGAACCTTTACTAACTTAAGCATTAGAAAACCTTTGTTGGATATGTTATGATGTAATTTTTTGAAATAATCTTGAACTGAATCTCCAAACCTTCAGCATCTTAACATGAGATGAAGTCGGAAGCAGATCTCGGTGCTACGAATCTCATCCATACGTCGAAAATCTAAATATATATTTCTAGATGATTATGAAGATAAATTTATCATACCATAGAAATGAGTATACTAGCAGAATATTATATTATATGGTGAAAGATGGATTCTGATACCTGTGGAAATCCAAGTGACTTGTAAATGGACTGTTGCATGAGGCAGTCTTTAATATGGAGTCTCAGAAGAATCAATATATATAGTCGCATACATAAAAGCAAAAGAAACTTTTCTTTGATTTAAACCCAATCACGAGAGAATACAGTATGCTTATGGTAGAATAGCTTCAATAAAAACTGGGAAATGATGGTGGAATACAGCAGATGTTTCCAATAGCAGTATCTTTAGCCGATTCAGAGAATATGCATGACAAGTCTATATGACTTCAACTCAGCCTCATCTTTAGAATGCTAGATGAGCCTCGCTAACTTCAGATTTTGATTGAACACATGTCAACGCCAACCAATGAAAACTGCTTTTATGCAGCCTGAGTTATCTGAATCCACTGCTGTGGTTTAATTTACCTAATTTAGTATGATAAGCAAGGTGTATTCACATCAACCAAGATCTACAAATGTTCCTGGAAGCATTGAGATTAGAGGAATGGCTTGCATCCAGCAGTACATTTAAGAATGAAACTTAAGTCTGCTAGGAAAATAAAAGAAGCATTAGTCTTAGAAGAAGACCCAAAAAATGCATTTTCTCTGCCCATGCTTCTCATGTGTTAATTTTATTTACAGTACAATACAACAAAAGGAAGAGAGAAAAATTAATGTTCTGAAGACCAAATAATATGCATGCCAGAAATTATGATACTCTACATGGTATATGATAGAAAAAAGTCGATTACTTACTGCAAGAAATCCCTGATTGGTTCAAGGGATCCAATTCCACAAAATTAGACTTCAAATATATGTTCTTCCAAGTCAGGTTGCCTTCCCTCCAAGTATTTTGGTTTGTATGGTGCTATCGATTAATGAAAGTGAGAGTTCAGCTTTCAGAGCTTGCTGATTGTCTACCTTGTTCACAAAGTACTGTTCAATCCACGGAACTTATATTTGTCATGTACTCTCTCAGCATTTTCAGACCACCATGCTTCTGCTTGCTGCTCTCCAAATCTTCTCCTACTGCAAAGAAATGATCACCATCAGCATACAATTTCAGAGGTAACAACACATGTAACATATGATAAATTCCTGCCATTAGGTCAATTTATATGAAGATGATAAATGCGGATTACATCATCATTACCAATAACTTGCTCGATTACCTGAAACGGACTCTCTTTAGTTCTCTAGTTCCATCACGAAGGGCAATTAGAGTTATGTATACACCAGGTTCAAACTGTTCTATCCACTCGGCCTCTACTTGATTGCTGTCTGAATTGGGGCTGTCAAGATCTTCTGATCTGGTGATAGTTACTGGCATTTCTCCATTACCATTGTGTTCAACATTTGAAAGATCTTCCAAATAGTTGGAGCATGTAACTGCATGATTCCAAAAGTATGTGCTATTCTTAGTCGTTCCAGAAGTTCCTCTTGCTGCATGGTTTTGCTCTGATAATTCATCTTTAGATGATGAATGGAAACCTGGTGCATTGCTATCCAGACAATCACTTGTGCCATTGCTTGAAAGGTTTCCAAAACTTGAATCAGATTGCTGAATTGCATGTGAATCGGTAGAACCATTTGACAGATGCATCAATTTTATTGGATCAGTGTCATAGACTCCTTGAGGAAGCCTCTTTGCCATTTCTTTCAACTATCAACCAAAAAAAAAAAGATTCTCATTTGGCATAATTTTCTTGCAAAAAGCAACAACCAAGAACCCAATTAATATTTTGGTGCATCAGAATGTGATCATTAGAAAATTAAAAAAATAATGTTACAGGGTCCAGTTTAGTCAAGTTCAATCTGGCATTATTATAAAGGCACAAAAACTGGGCACCAGAAATGGAAGTATGAGTAGCAGCTGCTAGCCTGCCACACCATTTATCTTGAAGAACCAGTGCTTTGAAATCTAGACATGCTAAAGCATGCTCACTAGTTTGTCTCAAGAAAAAATGTTTTAATTCCAAGCATAGAAAAATTCGAGTCTAAGACAAACATAGCACACAGCCACATGCACATTTAAAGAATAAACTGCAAGAAAATGTCTCAATGTTCCCGAGCATACATTTTGAAAGTCATTCAAGTCTTACCAGAAAATGAACATAACATCAAGAAAGACTACCTGTGCTGTCAGTGATTTTATAACTTCTTTCGCGGCTTTGGACTTCGCAGATTCCTCCATAGCAAGTGTTGTGGCTTCTTGAGCTTTCTTTTCAGATTTCTCCAGCTGAAATTCTAGACGCTCACAGCGTTGCCTTAGATTATCCACCTAGTCAATATGCATCATAATGCATAAGAAATTTTGCTGATAACTGATGTTTAACTAAGTTAAAGAGGGACAGAATACCTCAGAATGAAACCTAAGAAGTTCTTGATTCAGAATATCATTGGTTTTCTTCAGATTATCTGAGAAGCTTTTGGAGAAAGAAAGACCTGCCATTGTGGGAGTTGGCGTTGTAGAGCGTGGAGGACTAGGCTTTCTTGAAAAAGGTGAAACAGCTCTAGAACGATTTGTAGACTTAACTGCTGGCCTAGGAACTGCTTGATGCACATCTGTGCTAGCATTAAAAGCAATGCTTTTCAGCTGTAAAACTGAAGGAACTTGAGGAGATTGAGTCACGGACAAGGAGTTAGAATTCTTCCCTTCTATGGATACTTTACTATCGAAATTGTTGACCAGATCTAAATTACTAGATGGCAAAGCCTTGGATAAGCTTGTATCCAGTCTATCAAGCCTGTCTTTGCTCTCGCCAGATATACGGGGCTTCATAATTTTCTTGCTAATAAATCCACCAGAGTCAAAACTATTAGTCAACTTTACATAGCATGTATCACATACACGATATGGTTTCCCAGGATTAGGAGACAATGCTGCTCTCAGAGCCTTTCTTGAACTGCACTGATGGCAATGTACAAGCCCACAATTGTAACAGTTGTGCTTTTTCCTAGTGAATCCGAATGCCTGTCTACAAGCTGAGCACTGGGACTGCTCTGTACCTGATACCCATTTATGCTGACATATGGCAGCAGTGAAGCTTGAGCCACAGGAGATATGTTTGACATGTCTGTCCTTCAGAGCTTCAACCATTTTAGGTGTTTTACGATCTTCAAGATCTCCATGGCCCAGTCTTCCATTTGCTCCTCTTCCCCATGTGTAAACTTCACCTCTGGCTGTCAAGACTGCAACATGATATGAACCAGAAGCAACCTCTACAACAGATTCACCAAGGAGCTTATCTTCTACCATGCATGGAAGCCTTCCGTCAGAATGGGGATTACCAAGCTGACCATATACTGTACTTCCCATGGTAAAAACATGTCCTGAAGTGGTTAGGCCAACTGTAAGACTATGACCACAAGCCAATTTGTGAAAATTGAAATCAATCAATGATGATACACAGGTAGGCTCAAGCTGGGGTTCTTTATCACCATGGCCAAGGCGATGCTTGTCTCCATCACCCCAAGTGAATAATTTTCCAGATGATGCACTGGATTGTGTCACGATAACTTCTACCACAGCTGCAGTATGCCACACCCCACATGAGACAGCCATTGTCTTCAATCCCGTAAGTGATTCTACTTCCCTGGGGTGTAAAAGGCTTTCTCGATTTCCATGGCCTAAGACACCAAATGTTCCATCGCCGAATGAGAATAACTGCCCTGTTGTAGTAATTAAAGCTGTATGCCATACACCACAAGAAACATAAGAAACTTGAAGACCTTCCAGTATTCCTGACACTCTTTTGGGCATCCAGTGACACACATCCGTACCATGACCAAGAAGACCAGCATTATAGGAGCCATCTCCCCAAGTATAGAGTTCACCAGACATGGTAACAGCGCAGGTATGGAACTCCCCACAAGCGACAAAATCAACATTAGAAGCTGATAATGATTCCACAAGGCGAGGGTTAACAGTATCAGCAGCAACTCCATGACCAAGGCGTCCGCCAGATTCTTCACCCCAAGTGAATACTTCTCCCTGTCTGGTAACAAGGGCAGCATGCCTCACTCCACAGGCCACATGATGAATGTCCAACACTAAATTGGACTCCAGGGATTTTGGTAGGAGGACATCTGTCCTTGCACTAGAAGGATTACTATTTCTATCAGCACTAACTCTGGCAGAAATATCAGAGATGACTTCACCCCAAACATAGACATCGCCGGAAGCATCGAAGTCCTCCGGTGCAGAACCATGACTGGATGTACTAGGAACACTAGAAGTGCTAATTCTAATTCCATCTGAAGAAGCTCCTTTAGTGTGCATATTTGACACATCTGATCTTTCAGAATATACTGGATATTCAAACGATTGGATTTTCTGCAAACCACACGAAGTTAGTCTGTCCTCAGAAGTATCTAAGGTGGGACCAATAGAATGATTGCTTATATTATCTGATGCAAATTCTCTGCCATCCTGAAAAACGAAATTTGCAAGCGACCGAAACCCATAAGAATGATGTTATATCTTTAGTTGAAAATATTCATTTGTTAAAAAACAAATAGTCAGATAGATCACCGAACTAAATTTCAGAATAAAATTAACAGAGGAGATGACATTGTCATCATCATATATTGGGAAAAGTTTTGCTCATGAAAGAACACACAAAATAATCCCAACATGCAGTGACTACAGGCTCTCATTTACAATCACGTAGAACCATGTCATAATGTTCCCATTATCAGCCACCCTACAAACTGGACATACAAATTCAAAAAAACCAAGAAATACTATATTTCAACCATGGCTATCGAAGAGGCGATAACTCGCTTCAGGCTGACAGCTTCCAGATATAAAACATGACAAATTCTTAATTGGATGGTTAATTCTAGGTGCTTTTAAAAAAAATGTTTTCTGAAACGTTGAAGTCAAAGATAAACTAGTTGTGTCATATATTACATATGTGAAAACTTAAAATTCCAAATGTATCATCCAGAAGCTTAGGTTCTAGATTTATGCGCCTATCAGATGAATACATGTGATAATGTAACAAGTCAGCACATGTACTGCCAAAACAAGCATGAATAAAATATATCTTTTGACAAGGAATATAAAATATTGAAATTTCATGTTTTACCATGGTAAACAAGCAATTTCAGACTTCTGCATGAACATATGTGCAAATATGACCTTCAATATTGAAATTAGAATAACAAGTATTCAGGCATAAAGGAACTACTTACTCTTGTACAGATTCATACTTCATGTGCTTCTAAACAAGCAAATTCCTTGTGTAAATCTGACACAGAAGCGATACTGTACACAATGAATTTATTAGCATTATTCTTTCAAGACTACTCCTTCATATAACATATAGGACAGATTATAGCCAAGCTTTATTAACAGATATTGTTCCATTTCTCTGGTGTTGTGAAACAAGGCATGATCCAGTGAGCATGGAGATGGCCCACAACCACCTCCAAGTCTGACTTTGCTAATGTGTTACATTTTGCTAAAATTTGTCATGAAAACTTCATGAAGAGGGAAATATCATCAAACTAGTAGCAGATAAACCAACAAAGAAAATATACAAGTTGGTTACTTTCATGTTATACGAGTCAAGGAAGTCAATTTCAATTGATTCGGATTGTATCGGCTGGTATTTACAGGTTCAAGCCCGAACCAAGAAGACCACCCCATTTTGGCGGCCCAATCTGATCTAATTAAAAAAAAAATTAAAACTCCTTCAAGTAAGACTCATGAATGCGGAGCCCTTTTCTATCTCTCACAGAGCCCACCACTATGTTTACCTATGTGTGTTGTCTACCACCGTCTCCCCTTCTTCCTTTCTCTTTCTCCTCCTTTTCCTCCACCGTCTCGTCTTCGTCCTTCCTCTCCCCATCCTTCCTCCTTTTCCTCCACTGCCTTCTATTCTTCCTCCTTCCTCCTTCCTCCTTCCTCCTCCTATTCTTCCTTCCTCTTCTTCTTTTTTCTCTTTAGTACATATCGTTGTACAATATTGGTATATAGGTACCAGTTGGTATGTATCAGTCCAGGCAGGGACCAATATAGTAACTCGGTATGAAATTGCAATCCTTGAAACCAGTATAAGGCAATTACATGAAATGCCAACTTAACTTAATTAAAGAAACACTAAGTTTATGCTTAGATAATTCTAACAAAAAAATAGGTATCATATTAATCTATATAGACAAAATTCTAAATGGTTGTGTGATGTTACAAGATAATAGCATGTTCACTAAAAGACTATTTGCTAACCATAAAAGTACCCATGAGAAAACACCAGAAAAATGATCTAATAGCATAAAAGATTTACATCATTATAGAGGCCATTACTCCATCCATCTATTTTTGGTCGTCCATATTGTCCTGCAGAAATTAATGTCTTTAATCCAGAAAACCAAACTTCCACTTCAACCTTATCCTTGCAAATCTGTACACAAGAATCAGATTCAGCACAAACAGATCATGACAAGATAAGAACACACAAATATTAGAAGAAACTTCGGATGTGCTTACTAGATCAAGAGACCTTTTGCCATCATTATAAATAAGTGAAAAAGACAGATAATCTTTATCTGGGCGTGGATATCGCTGAAAAACAGACTGTAGGTAGAAGATATATAGTCAATTTAGAGTAAAGTGGTTGCATATTGAATTGCAAACAAAACAACAAAGCTTGGAATTTTGTCATAGCAGCATAAATTAAACCCTTCACATTAAAAAGAGAATAAACATGAAGATGATCTCACAGTTCTTTGTCCTGAAATAATCCTTGAAACAGAGGCCAACTTCAATGTTCTCTCACCACTAGTAGAAAACCAAATTAATGTTGATTCATCCTGTGACACCAATTGAAAATTAAGTCTAATATTCAGAGACATCATAAACTCATATGTTCACTTGAAAGTTTAATAATGACAATTTGCAAATTAGCATGCATTTCAATATTCAAATAATGAAATGTTATATGACCAGCATATTATATTCATGAGGATATCTTCCAGCCATCATACAATAAAATTTTAAGCTGATTAATCAGAAAAAAAAATGCTTGTAACAAACTCACATTGGATAGTCTGAATAGATAGAACTTTGGCTTTCCTTTACGACCATATTTAAGTAATTGTGTGCCCTTTTTTAAAGCAACCAGTATCTACAAAGCAGAAAAAGAAAGTAGTTAAAACAACGAGCAGTAACATGTCATATCTGAAATTTTCAGTAACATAAACAAAATGAAATAATATTTCATTATTTGTTTAGTTGAGACTGAGATGCATATAAGATAGGAAGAAATGTGTTATCTAATAACTTTATTTTTCTAAAAGAAACTAAAACAAACTATTGGATATCAGATCAAGATTAATATTATGAGAAACTTACATTGGCCTGTCAGATATCACCAGCATATGACACAAATGAAGTAGCACTTAAATTACGTCCCCCAAACAGATATAACCAGGATATGAGACAGATGAACTCAAAATTAATAATGATATACACTCACTTCATAAATTATTTTGAGAAGGCTGACCTATGCATAAATATATATGTATAAGTATTATGTAATGAGAATATTTTTTGAAGTATTAAAAGGGAAAAAACCAACAACTTTACAAAGATATAATAGAAATATGAACTGAAAAGCTACAATGGAGTCATTCATAATCATTACTACCTTATCCCATTATCTTCCAAACAATTTGCATAGGCCAAAAGTATATTTTCTTTTTTTTGCTTTGCAAAGAAGTCTCTTTTTTCTTTTTTAATTGTCTTCTGTTGCTATTATATTATATTAAAGTTACTTTTTCTTTATGCATAAATAATATATATTATAGTTTATCTGTTCAACTTCTTTTCATGCATTTACCACTAAGGTATAGTTCACCGTTCATGTTCTTACTCCTTTACTTATTTCTTCATATTATTTCCACTTTATGCATAAAGAAAGTCATCTCAAAGTTTATATATTAGGCTTCCATTTCATGTGTTTGCCATTAAGGAACAAAACTTTCTTTATGTTCTTACTCTTAAATTGCAAGGTATATCCACTTTGCATTCATTTCTGAATGTTATGACATGGTCTTTCTCCTGGTAAAATTAAGTTAGACCAGATAACCATTTCTTTAGTGCAAAACATTGAAACAAACTGTAAAAAATGACACTTAGTTTTCTTACAATCTTTCTTCATGTCTTTTTTTATTTAAATCACTTGAACTAAATATATTTTCATGCTATCCAAATGAATTAGTTTGCTTTAGTTCTTTCTTGTCATAAAATTAATCATGTGATATTACCAAATGACTTAAACCTAGTAGGAAACTTAACTAACACATGAAATCAAGAATGGTATTTACTGGACACCAAAAGAGAGTCCCACTAACAAAGGAACATATTGTCAATTTTCCTCTAAACCCAACACCAAACTATTGTCTTGCTACCTATACCCCTTAGATCAATATTTTTCACTAATTAACATTAAATTGACAAAACTTTAACAATTAAAACAACAATACTGGTCACAAGTTTCTTAATATGGTATAAATATGACATAGTGGATGGGTAAGACATACATTTTGTGGTTTTTTTGGCCTCGAATGGATATTTATTCTGTAATACCAACTTGAGAAATTTCAATCATCATTTCTATTTTTACAATCTCCATTATCAAAATGTGTAATAGCCTTAATATCAAAGAAAAAAAGTTAAAGTAAGGTCTACAATGACTTCATGACAAACACATGTTTTAAATTTTTTCCATGTATTTAAAAAATTAATTAAATTAATTTTCAAATTTTTGTGAGGTAATGTTGTATGTGTATAAAAGTTAAAATATTTAACATCAAAGTTGCTTGCTTGCCAAGTCCAAGAGGAAACCAAACCTCTCGAGTATAGGCCCTCTTCTCTTACATCCATGTCATTCTTCTCTCCTCTTGAAGCCCCAGATTTTTCAATCAATGAATGCATCTGGGGTTCCCCTTCGTTGCCCTATAGTAGGCAACCTTCAGAGTCTCTCTAGTTCTTCTCAACTCTAATCTTAGACATGTCATATTGTCACGTACAAACTTCTAAACAGGATATTTGATATAATGCTTATGTATGTCCGTGTCTTTTGGTATGTTCATGCTTTGCACAGTATGTAAAGGGACGGTCGAAGGCTTAATAGTCCCATTTTAGTTGGGTTTGGTGGCCGCTTTAGGCTTGTAAATAAAGGTTGTGTCATCTGGACATTTGTGAGAGATTTTCGATCTGTAGTGGACCATTTTGACCCTTTGTTGTGCAACTGTTCAGAGCTTGTAAAGTGTGTTTGTAATTTGCATTGTCTATGAAGTGTTTCCTGGATTGTTTGCTTGTGGATCCCGAGTGAGGCACTTTCTCTAACCCGTTTTCTCTTTTGTAGGTCCTAAGGGACCATGACAGGCTTCGGGGAGGCTGACCTTTGCGGACGAACACGCAAGGGTGCCGCACGACTTAGGCAAAACCAGGTAAGTCCGTGATAATATGTTCCCTTCACAAAAGCCTGTTCTCTTCTCCAATTTAATGTATTGTCATTGGTCCATTGTATCATGAACTGATCGAACTCCTTTATACTTATTTATCATAGCATTTGTAGAAACATGAGAAATTTATCTCCAAAAACACCTTATTTATATTTTATAGTTTAGATTTGTATTATCTTCACTATTTTCAAAATTGTTTGCTGATATTCTTTACATTCTATATGCTAACTGAAATACAAGGAAAATCTATATTTTTGCTACAGCATATATGGCTGAGCAATATATTTTTCTATATCATTCGAGGCAAGATATTAGCCATATAAGATTTCTTTTGGTATCTAACTTTACCGTCTTGATTTTTTCCAATTCATGAAACAAGTATATTATATAGGCTATGTTGTCTTATTCTCATCTACATTCATGTCTACCAAATAAAAGTGGATATAAAAATTTAGTGTGTCTAATGTATTCCCACATCAAAATTTCATGTTATGGATGTTATGTCTTGCTCCATAGAAAGACATGCATTATTAGCTCCCTTTTTAAGTTGTGAATCACATATGTCATCTGCATATCCTTGTTATGGCCTATTGCACTGTTTGAGAAAGTGGTCTACTTGGCTTTTCAAATTATTGATCAAATGTATTTAAGGAAAAGGCCAATTCAGCTATATTAGTAGCTAAGTCTAGTTGATAAGCAGTGGTTCTAACATGTTAATTTTAAAATTTTAGAAGGAAAGAAACCACTTTGTATATATGCTAAGCTACTGATAAAATGTGCATGAGAAAGTCGACGCTAATTCACCACATCAGTAACCAAGGGCGGGTGATAAGCAATGGTCCTAATATGCCCATGTAAGCATAAAAACTATAATTATACTATTGTTATGTGAAAAAATTTAATGCCAAAATCGAAATCAAATAACGATAGATCAAGATCAAGATTACGTACATTTCGATGTCATTCATAAAACATTTATCTGATCTGCAAATGCATTGTCATCGGATTCAAAAGTTACAGTGATGTTACCATGCAAGGAGAACTACACTCACATTCTCCTCTCTTTCTATCCTTCACAGGACTATTATAAGCAATGTAATAGGGACTAAGGGAGATTAAGAATATATTTGCAATCTCAATATCTGGTGTTTCGTCCCTAAGAGGTCTTGTCCTTTTATAGGTGAGAGCAGAGGGTCTAATATGGTAATTAGGAGAGTCCCTCTTGTTAGTTTGGCAAGTCCCATAGTCCCACATCGGGAAAATCAGGCTTGTTATCTCCTATTGGAACTATAAATAACGGCCTGGACTTTGAAGTCAGATACACCACAAGTAGCACCACAAGAAAAACCTAAGTGTTTGCTTTGGGTTTAAGTCCACACTCAGTTAAATAGTTTGGGCTTATACTTTGGGTTTTTTCTTGTTTAGTATTTTCGAGTGTTTTATGGCCTAGGAACATCTTCCTAAGGCATTTGTAATAGTCCCTCTTTTATAGTAGTGATTTGCTCCTCTTTCGTCCGTGGATGTAGGTCAAGGTTAATTGACCGAACCACGTAAATCTGGTGTTCTTGTCGCTTTTATCTTTTTGCTTTATTGTCTTTGTTGGGTTGCCAAAATTACCCTTTGATAAATTTCTTGGGGCTAGCTCTAACAAACTGGTATCAGAGCTTGATTTCGGGATCTTTTGGCAACGATGACAATAACAAATATCATTGTCGAGAAATTCGATAGAAATATTAGCTTCGGCATCTGGCAACTCAAGATGGAGGCTATTCTGGTTCAAAACGGAGTTGATTTGGCACTACAGGGAGCTAAGAACATTCCAGATGGTACGTCAAAGGAAGATCTTGCGGGTATGGATAAGAAGGCCCGATCCAGCATTATTCTAAATCTCTCTGACGAGGTTTTACGGGAGGTAGCTACGGAGATTACGGCTAAGAGCATGTGGGACAAGCTTAAAGCCTTGTATATGAAGAGGACAGTAGAGAATCGTCTTTACTTAAAGCAGAGTTTGTATATGCTTCGGATGACTGAAGGTACATCTATACTCTCACATTTTGATAAATTTGATTCCTTGGTTATGGATTTGGAGAATATAGATGCAAAAATTGATGATGAGGATAAGGCCCTGTTACTTTTGTGTTCTCTTCCCCAATCTTTTAAGCATTTCCGTGATACTATGATTTATGGAAAAAAAATAATTTCATATCAAGAAATTAAATCTGCACTAAAATCTAAGGAGCAGATAGACAAAGATATCACTGGGGAAAGTAGAGAGAATCAGACTGAAGGTCTAGTTGTTAGGGGGAGAATAGATAAAAGAGAATTTGACAGTAGTAGATCTAAATCTAGATCTAAATCCAGACATAGAAATTTAGAATGCAGATATTGTCATAAAATGGGACACATTAAGGCTGATTGCTTTAAATTGAAAAATAAATTAAAGCAAAAGGAAAAAATTGTTGAGAAAACTACTGAGTCCGTTGAAGCTAGTGTAGCAGTTGATGAGAATGATGAAAATATTTTCTTTGCTACTGATGACAGGACGAGGTCTAAAAATGAATGGATTTTAGATTCGGGTTGTTCTTATCACATGTGTCCCAATAGAGATTTATTTTCCACATATGAATCTTGTAATGGTGGAATTATTTTGATGGGC